AGCGGGACTGGCCTAGGGTAATTTTTAAGAGGGGTTTTTAGAGGAGTTTTTAATTATATTTTAAATTAGACAAGTTAAATATTTCATTTTAATTAATTTTAAATTTTGTGTTGTTATTGGTGTTTTTAATTGATTGTCAGCCGCCCTGAGTCCGCAAGGAGAAGGGCGGGATATAAATTCGAACAATAAATAAATAAATTAATTAATTAATAACTGCATCATTTAGCAACAGAAATTTGGGCTCAATTGTGGTTGTAAGTATATTATTATTATTATTATTATTAACAAGAACAATAACAATAACAACAACAACAACAACAACAACAATAATAATAATAATACAGTTGGAAGGGACCTTGGAGGTCATTTAGTCCAACTCCCTGCTCAGGCAGGAAACCCTATACCATTTCAGACAAATGGCTGTCCAGTCTCTTCTTAAAAACTTCCAGTGTTGGAGTATTCACAGCTTCTGGAGGCAGGTTGTTTCACTGATTAATTGTTCTAACTGTCAGGAAATTTCTCCTTAGTTCTAGGTTGCTTCTCTCTTTGTGATTAATTTCCATCCGTTGCTTCTTGTCTGCTTTGGAGGATAGCTTGACTCCCTCTTCTTTGTGGCCACCCCTGAGATACTTGAACACTGCTATCATGTCACCCCTAGTCTTTCTCTTCATTAAACTAGACATACCCAATTCCAGCAACCGTTCCTTATATGTTTTAGGAACGGTTGCTGGAATTGGGTATGTCTAGTTTAATGAAGAGAAGGACTAGGGGTGACATGATAGCAGTGTTCCAGTATCTCAGGGGTGGCCACAAAGAAGAGGGAGTCAACCTGTTCTCCAAAGTCAAAGACTACACATACTTCAAAGTTGAGGACTACATGTACTTTTGTGACATGGAGTCACAAAAGGAGTGTAGAGAGGGGGAGATGGGTTGCCTGCAGTCTTCTGGCCCTGAATTATTCCACTGCTGCAAACTATTCTCACCATTCTGGTTGGAAATGACTTTATTCTGTTTTTAGGAGTCCCCGGCGTGAGAAATGATCGTTTCAGAGAAGGGATGGAGGCCAAGCATTGTGCACTGTCTCTTGTTGGGGAGCCAATCATGTACCCACAGATCAACCAGTTCCTAAAGCTGCTGCATCATCGCAATATTTCAAGTTTTTTGGTTACAAATGCACAGTTTCCAGAGGAAATTAGGTGATAATCCTAAGAAATTGTACCTCTTCCTTCCCATTTGTTGGTGCTGCAAAGAGATTGGATAGCCATTTGTCTGAAATCATATGAGGTTTCCTGCCTGAGCAGGGGGTTGGACTAGAAGAGACCTCCATGGTCCCTTCCAACTTTGTTATTCTGTTACTTCAGCCTACAGTTGGGATAGTGTGCTGAGAGATTCATTGTGAAAAGTAGGCAGGCCAGAGATACAGTAATGGCTGGAGTTTGGAGAATAACTAGCTCTGAATGAATTTAAAATTAAATTAACTTAATTAAATACAGTTGGTGTGATTATTTCCTTAGTTAATACTTTCTCCCATCTGTCTCTCTGAAAATTGTAAATTGAAAGTCATGTTTGGAGAGACTGTGGAGCACAAGGATTTTGGAGGGTACATATGGCCTCAAAGTTTACGTTTTTAATTTAGTCTCTATCATGCTAGATGCCCAAAGTTAGATAAGAACAGCTTTGTATATCCACACTACCCCACTTTGGACCTCAATGTCACACGTGCTCTTGGAAATAATTTGAAATCCAGAGCAGCTGCCATCTAAAATATATTGAATTTTAGCTTTTTTTCCCCTAAAAAACTTGAGTAGCAATATTCCAGTTTTAGAGCTTTCACTGTTGCCTCACAAACAGGAACCTCCAGCCTGTCACACAGCTGTATGTCAGTGTGGATGCCAGCACCAAAGATAGTCTGAAGAAGATTGATAGACCTCTCTTTAAAGACTTTTGGCAGCGGTTTCTAGATAGCTTGCAAGCCTTAGCTGAAAAGGTATGGCATTCAACTTATGTTTGGTTCCCTCTTGACACTGAAGTAATAGTGGGAAAGGTTGTGGTTCTTGTATGTGATCATAATGTCATCAAAACCTTTACAAATTACATTCTTTAAGTCCAAAGTTCAGATTACAATGAACTGTCATAGTTAAAATAAATGTGTACTCAGATTGATTGGCTTAGTGCTCTTTTCAGTTGAAAGCCTGATGCTAAATTCAGCACCACTCCTGCTGGAATGTACTCCTGCTCATATCCTTTTATTTGTATGTACTACTATTGCATGTTGTAATTGAAAACTGCTCTCTCCCAAATTTTTTAGAAACAGCGCACTGTATACAGATTAACACTGGTGAAAGCTTGGAATGTGGAGGAGCTGAAAGCTTATTCAGATTTGGTGTCTCTTGGCAAGCCAGATTTCATAGAAATTAAGGTGAGGTGTTGATTGTTAGGGTGGGCCCTTCTTGCTTCCCACATTTGACCTTTCTTGTGAGTTCATTGTTTTTCAGATAAATGTATGATAAATGACAAATTTGACTAGGCCTGATTCCAAATACTTCCACAAAACGTTTTAGGGCAGATTTTGCTTTTCAGTCTATACCCTGCCCCTTTAATCTACATTCTACATGACTCAGTCTGTACCCTTCCCCCTTGTTTTACATTGTACATAACTAACTCTGAATTAAAAGGCTTTGCCAAGTAGCCTATGAATTCATGGCGGAAGAACATTAGCCCACATGATAGAGAACATTCAGGTTCAGAGGCAGCACTACTCGCTGAGGACAGACAATGTGAAGGTTTGTTACTTTTATGCCCTGCTTGTAAGGTTCTTGGGAATATCTGCTTGGACCTTTCAAGACTTCCAGCTGAATCTGTGGAGACTGGATAGAAAAAGAGCAGGGCCAACCTGCAGATTCATTTTCTACCCAGTTTGAAATCCTTCCTATGTTGAACTGAAAAATCATTCTTAAGCCAGCGTAATATTAAGATGTGATATTTTGAAACAGGTAGTCTTCAACTTATGACCGTAATTGAGCCCCCAATTACGGTCATTAGTTGTGAAAGTCTTTAAACAGTTCACTTGGTTTTATGACTTTTTTTGTGGTTGTTAAGTGAACATGGTGGTTGTAAAGCAAACCCATTGTTCACTGTGGGATGGGGTTTTTTGCTGGAAACCAGAAGTAAATGCCTGTTTACAGCAACAACATAAATCGCAGTCACATGACCGGGAGCCACTGCAAATGCCCATAAATGTGGGCCAATTGCTGACTTCCTAAAAAGTGGTCACATGACTGTGGGAGGGAATGGCCAGCGTAACTTTGAATCCAGATCATAAGTTGCTTTTTTGGAGTCCTCATAACTTCAGTTACATAAGTCAAGGATTGCCCTCACTGCTGTTTACCTTTCCTTCTCCAGCTTTTTTTCCTTTATCATTTGCTTATAGACTGTAAGCCTGAGATGAGAAATAACTTTATATTGACCTGTAATTAATTAATTTAAAGAATGGGAGGATCCCTACAGGAATGTTGTTAGTTGCGAAGTCGTGTCCGACCCATCGCGACCCCATGGACAACGTTCCTCCAGGCCTTCCTGTCCTCTACCATCTTCTGGAGTCCATTTAAGCTCACGCCTACTGCTTCAGTGACTCCATCCAGCCACCTCATTCTCTGTCGTCTCCTTCTTCTATTGCCCTCAATCTTTCCCAGCATTAGGCTCTTCTCCAGTGAGTCCTTCCTTCTCATTAGGCGGCCAAAGTACTTGAGTTTCAACTTCAGGGTCTGCCCTACAGGAATAGAAATTGTGATTTTTTAAGCCTCTCATGACTGTGGGATGCTGGGAGAGAGAGTTTAGGACTACATCTGACTTACAGGCTGTTTATGGTTGTTGCAGCCATCAGATTGCTGATCCCTGTTAGAAACAGCAGTCACCCACAAACATGTACAATGTTGTTTTTCAAGGGCTCTAATCTTGTGGTTGCTTATGGCTGCTTTCTTCTGGTTATACCTTAAAAATAATTCTACTCGTTCAGTAATTTGTAACATTACTGCACTAGATGCCAATATGTTCTTTTAGGAAAAAAAATTCAAAAAACGAATTTGAGTAAAGTCTAGGGCTCTAATCTTAAGAAAATGTTTCCTCAACAGGGTGTGACATACTGTGGGGAAAGCTCAGCCAGCAGTCTCACCATGGCCAACGTCCCTTGGCATGAAGAAGTGAAGCGTTTTGTGCAAGATCTGGCTGACCTCCTCCCAGACTATGAAATTGCCAGCGAACACGAGCACTCCAACTGTCTCCTCATTGCCCACAAAAAGGTAATTCTAAGCCTCTTTGAGTCATTTCCCAAAACTTTTGGGTTAGGAAGATTTAAATATTCATTATTAGCACTGTAGGCTCATTTTCAGCTGCACAGACAGTCTCTGACTTACAACCATTCGTTTAGCAATCAATTCAAAGTTACAATGGCACCGGAAAAAATAATAATTTATGACTAGCTTTTGCACTTTATGACCAGTGCAACATCCACACAGTCATGTGATTAAAATTATGGTGTTTGACAACCAGCACATATTTAGCAATAGCATTTAGACTTATATACTGCTTCACGGTGCTTTACAGCCCTCTCTAAGCGATTTACAGAATCTGCATATTACCCCCAACAATCTGGGTCCTCATTTTACCAACCACGGAAGGAAGGAAGGCCAAGTGAACCTTGAGCCAGTCAGAATCAAACTGCAGGCAGTTGGCAGAGTCAGCCTGGAGTACAGCTTTCTAACCACTGCACCACCACGACTCTTCACATTTACAGTGTTTGCAGCATTCTGGGGTTCATTCGATCACCATTTGCAACCTTCCTGACCAGTTTTCAGCAAGCAAAGTCAATGGGGGAAGCCAGGTTCACTTTAACAACCGCATGATTCACTTAACAGCTTCAGTGATTTGCTTAACAGTTGTGGCAAGAAAGATAGTAAATTCGGGTGTGATTCACTTAACAATCACTTTGTTTAGCAATGGAAATTCTGGTCTCAGCTGCGGTCGTAAATTGAGGACTATCTAATGATCATGAAGGTGCTTTATGACTATTATAAACAATAAAAACAAACATTTTTAAAATAAGGATGCTAATGTTTTTGAGCCACAGGCCTCTTCAGGATTCAGGCCATGTTATTGGTTGCTGTAAAAGGTTGCTATGACTTTGCCAGTTTGCCACAGGCTGTCCTCTTTGGTGGGGCCAATCTCAAAATACTTATTTAACAGAAGGGCATTCTAGTCAGATGGTTTCATATTACTCTTTCTAGTCCCGCAGGATACTTTCTATCAGCTCAGCTTCTTCCATTTTTTTTCCTGGGTAAACAAACATATTTCTAACAATGCTGACTACCAGCATTTTTTTTTAATCTAAGGCCTGCCAGATCTGTGATTGATTGCTATTTGGAAAATTTAAATCCAAAGTTAAATGAGGCAAAGATCCTAGATATGTGGTCACAGTGACATCTTTGGATACTATGTGAGGGAGTCCAGCATTCAAGTCACAACAAGTATAAATTTAACAATGGGAATTGCAAAAGTGAGGTAAAAGAGCAGTTAAAATAATAGGTATGTATGAATATTTCAAAATTGGAAATCTAATCCATCCAAGAAAAACGTGTGATGCTCCTGTTCTCCAAATGAGAAGAGATTCCCAGTCTTTTGAGCCACTTCTGGAAGTTCTTTGCTCCTTACCCATGACAATCAACCAGTGGAACAGCTTACCCCCAGAAATCGTGGGTGCTCCATCACTGGAAATTTTCAAGAAGAAACTGGACAATCACCTGTTTGGGATGGTATAGGTTCTCCTGCTTGAGCAGGGGGCTGGACTAGAAGACTTCAAAGGTCCCTTCCAGCTCTATTCTATTCTAATCAAAAATCTCTGCTTGGTAGAGCAGGCTGTACTAATTTGTAACATCTGAGTAAAGAGCAGAGTTAGGGAACTTGTATAGAATTGAGATGCATACTTACTGATCTATGACCATTAAAAAGGTTAGATTTGATATACTTATTAGGATCTGGAAGTGGAGGGAAGTGGGAGAGATTAACTCACTAGAAGTCTTAGTATCCATAGACATTGCTTTAAGGCTGTCCATTATATCTAAGAGACGCTCAATAAACTTGGCTAGATCACACATCACACTAAAGAAAGATTTAATTGTGGTTTTTTGAAGAAAAAAATGGCTGGGCTGACACTAATCCAAACAAGAAACAGTATTATTGTTCAGTACAGTCTTCTCCACTCTTTCTGTCTTCCAGATGTGTGGATTTTAGCTCATAGAATTCTTAGCAATGGTCATTCAACTGGGGAGTTCTGGGGATTAAAACCACTACACATGGAGAGTGACCAGCTTGGAGAAAAGCTGAGTGTGTTGTTTCAGTTTTGTCTGAATCAATATATTATAGTAAACATCTTTAGAACAAACATTTCTTTAAAAAAAAACAACAACCCACCCCTCTGTATCACAATTATACATCTGCTTTTTCCTTTAGTTCAAGATCGAAGGGAAATGGCACACCTGGATTGACTATGATCGCTTTCAAGAATTGGTCCATGAATATGAACAGAGTGGAGGAATTAAAACATTCACTTCTGCTGACTATGTAGCACTGACTCCTCCTTGGGCAGTGTTTGGAGCTAAGGAAAGAGGTTTTGACCCAATGGATACAAGATTTCAACGAAAAAACAAAATAAAGGACATCTCTGGATGCTGACAACTTTAAAATTGGACCATTTGTGAGCCAGAGCTAGGATATAACCAGAATTTTTGGTTTGTACACTAACATCAGAAAGTGTTGAATAAAAGTTGAGATTTCCATTTCTCTTGGGGCTATCCAAAGTGGGTTTTTTTCTTTTTTTTTTCTTATTCTACCCAAAGGAAAATAGTAAGTTATATGCTTTTTAAAAGGCAGGTAGATGCTATTAATTTATTCTTCTCAAATCTCTCAGTGAGAGATACAGGTAGACCTTGACTTATGATCATAACTGAGCCAGGAATTACATCTGTCGTAACTTTGAACTGCCTCTTAAGACAGTGGTTCTCAACCTGTGGGTCGGGACCCCATTTGGGGTCGAGCGACTATTTCATGGGGGTCGCCAAGCAAGGCTGTCCGCCATTTTTTTTGTCCGCCATTTCCCCCCCTTTTCCGGTGGGTGCCTTACCTCCCTTGGGCTAGGCCAGCTGGTGGTCGGCCTGCTCCGTCTCTGCCGCTTTCCAGCTACGCCTCGGCCGGCGCAGGGGGCGGAACCACGCATGGGCGGCGCTCCCGGGCAGGGAAAGTCCTCGACTTACGAGCGGTTTAGTCCTCGACTTACGAGCGGTTTAGTCCTCGACTTACGACCGGTTGGGGTTGCGGCATTAAAAAGGTTGAGAACCACTGCTCTAAGAAACTGATTGAGTGAGCACTACCTGTAATTTCAGTTTCCACCCATATGCATACTCCTTATTTTTCCATTTCTCATTCTAATCCAGGAGTGGACAGCTGTGCCCTTTCAGCGCTACAATTTTTGCAGTCTTCACAGCACCCAGAATGGGCATGGCCCACATTTTGTAATCTATTTTTGTCTATTCATGTGGCATGATCATCTGTGTCCCCTTCAAGCCACCCAAAATAAAAAAATGCACCCCGTTTTCCTAATTAAGGGTTCCCTTGCGATCAGCGATATATCTTGAGTCCTATCTGTGGACTCCAGACATAAAACTATTTTTATTTTCTTCCGTAAAAGTACCCGAAAAGATTGTTAAATCACGCAAAACTTGAACGTGAAGGGATTTTCCTGTTTCTTTAGATATCTGTTGCAACAATCCTTATGTGCTGTGCACCTGGCATGAAGTGACCATCTAAAAATGTTTGAAAAGAGCTGCAGCCACCGTGGCCCAGTGGTGTGTGTGGGCAACCTATATTAAATTGAAATACACCTCTCTTTTTGCTAGAAATTTAGCTACAATAAATTAAAAACAAAAAGTATCCGATCTCTTGGTGTGTGGATATTTTTGCTCTCATCTGTGAATGCAGCAGTCTAGGATTAAAACCTGTATCTATATATTTTTCAGTGTTTCTCATGGATCCATCAATGTGGTGTTAAATACTGGATTGCTTTGTTAAAATTATTATTCTTTTCCTTAATAGTTTCTGCCCTAATTAGTATTTTTTAAATTTATATATACCTTTTGATACCTGCTTTACAAAAAGGTTTTAAAATTTTGAAAGCAAACAAAATAAAAATCTAAATTTCATACCTACCTTTGTGACTCTCAAGTAAAATGACAATCCATTTTATTATTATTATTGTATTATTTATGGAATGGTGGTAGCACATGCAATAATTTAGATTGACAAGGGTTCTGCCTAAGGTTACATATAGTCTGTCTTTTTACTGATGGGATAAGACATCCTTCCCCAGGTGGTGTCCACCAAATTTGTTGAAACTACAACTCCCAGAATTCCTTGGCAGTCATTGGGGAATACATTTGGAGGGTACCAGACTGGGAAAGGCTGGTATAAGATATGACAATTCCCTTTCTGCAAATACCTTAAGACAGCGGTTGGCCATTTAGCATCTGCAGATATCTTTTTCACCTCCCCTGTTTAGTCAAAAAAAGGATTTTATAACCTTGGGGGCCCAGAGGAATTCTGTTAAAAAAACAACAACACAGGACTTTCAATGGTAGCTGATTTACACCAAAGCAAAAACAACTCAAAATTCCAAACCTGCCCATTGTGCTTGAAACCACAAAAGAAAAAAATGTATTTTATATTGAAAGTCAAAGTAGTTATAACTATGAGGGGGAAAAAACAAAGCATCTTTATAATAAGCGTTCAAGCTGTGGATTCCCGAGAAGACTTAATCAGTGACTTGTGAAAAAAATAGGAAGGTTACAATTGATTTTTTGGGACTATTTCATGGTAAAGGCAATAGAAAAAAATAGAATGAAAGGAAAATAGTGGGACTGTACAGTGTGTGGGATTTGAAGTTTAAAATACGCGTTTGGAGTGCAGAGGGAGTGCATATAACAACTCTCTGTGATCCCTTAAACCAGGGGTAGGCAACCTTGGCTCTTTTATGACTCGTGGCTGGCTCAGGAATTCTGGGAATTGAAGTCCACGAGTCATAAAAGAGCCAAGGTTGCCTACCCCTGCCTTAAACCAAAAATACCTTGTCCTGAGATTGCATGCTATTATGCAGGGCAGCCATTCAATCCACTAGAACCAGTTTGGCCTAGCAGTTAAGACATCAGACTAGAAACCAGGAGACTTGGACTGAGTTCTAGTACCGCCTTAGGCATGAAAATCGGCTGTGTGACTTTGGGCCAGTCCTCTCTCAGCCTAAGCCATAAAATGTCATATGCTGAACACAGTTATTTTCTACAATAAGGTTTAGTGCTGTTTAATATTTAACTTTGGAATCACCAAGTTCAAGTTTCTAATATACAGCTAGAGGGATTTAAATTATTTAAAAGAAATAGACCAAATAAAAGAGGAGGTGGAGTTGCACTATATATAAGAAATAACTACATCTCTACAGAAATAGAGCACAACATTGATGAAAACTGTCTTGAATACATTTGGGTCAATATACATAAAAGGGGGGAAATGACATGTATACAGGCCACCCAACCAGAGGAAATAATAGATGAACCTTTTGCTAGTCAGCTAATTAAGGTATGTAGGAAGCACATCACAATAGTAATGGGGGACTTTAACTACCCTGACATCAACTGGGAGGCAAACACTGCACCAAGTGAAAGATCAAACAGGTTCCTGACAAACCTAGCAGATAACTTTGTGTCCCCAAAAGTAGAGAACGGAACTAGGGGATCAGCCATATTGGATTTAATTTTCACTAATAGAGATGAAATGATAGAAAGTGTTGAAGCTACAGGAACCTTGGGGGAGTGATCATACAATATTGGAATTCAACATTATGCAAGCACAAGCAATAGAACAAAGTCAAACTAGAGTCTTGGATTTTAAGACAGCTAATTTCAATGAACTTAGAGTTGGGAAGGATTCCATGGATGAGAATCCTCAAGGGGAAAACAACTCAAGAAGCTTAGGAAAGTGGGATTATAAAAGCCTAGTCTAGCACAATACCAATGAAGAAAAATAACAGCTCTCAAAAGAAACCAGCAAGGCTGCATAAAGAATTCTCTGATAAATTGAAAGACAAAAAGGACAAGTATAAAAAGTGGAAAGAGGTGCACATAACTAAGGCAGAATATCGGTATGCTGCAGCTGCCAAAAAAGCCAACACAATTCTAGGCTGCATTAACAGGGATAGAATCAAGATCAGGTGAAGTGTTAATACCACTTTATAATGCTTTGGTAAGATTATACTTGGTTGCCACGATGTAAAAAAGATGTTGAGATTCTAGAAAGAGTGCAGAGAAGAACAACAATGCTGATTAGGGCACTGGAGGCTAAAACAAAAACGGTCGCTGGAATTGAGTATGTCCAGTTTAATGAAAAGGACTAGGGGTGACATGATAGCAGTGTTCCAGTATCTCAGGTTGCTACAAAGAAGAGGGAGTCAAGCTATCTTCCAAAGCACCAGAAGGCAGGAGCTGATGGAAACTAATCAGAGAGAAGCAACCTAAAACTAAGGAGAAATTTCCTGACAGAACAATTAATCAGTGGAACAACCTGCCTCCAGAAGCTGTGAATGCTCCAACACTGGAAGTTTTTAAGAAGAGATTGGACAACCATTTGTCTGAAATGGTATAGGGTATCCTGTTATTCTGTTAAAAGGAGTTATGTTTTTGGCAATGATACCTAAGATTATGGGTGTTATAACCAATACTTGGGAAGGTCACCAGATGAGAGGATACCTGCACTAAATGCTCACAAATAAGCTTTTGACTCTTTTAACTTTGATGCTGCTAATGTCATCTAGTTACTATATAGAAAATAAAAGACTAATCTGGTATAATTCATCCTTCAGTAATTGCCTCCCTTATAGCAGCTGGCCAACGGTGCTTTCCCATAAAGGATAGCAGCTGGCCAATGGTGCTTTCCCACAAAGAAGGAAATAGAAGGAATTTTTAACTGCTCTTTTACCTTATGCTTTTTCCTCATTTGGTTTTTGTGATTACTATTCAGCCCAGTTTGAATTTGTCATTTTAAAGAATTCTCATGAAGTATTTTATTTGGTGGTTATCTTAACATAGTGTAAGGTTTTCCACTTAGCCTCACAACTGCCCCAGCATTACTCAGGAATTTAAAAGAGCCAAAGAAACTCCTGAGTCGAGGTTTCAGCAAGCAAACAACTTTTATTTTGATCAAAATAGAGTTGGGTGACCCCATCTCTCTTCGTGGCTGGTAGAGAGATGAAGGCAACAACCAGAAAAGATGTCTTCCACCTTTTNTGGTACTAGGCATAAGATGGCACAAAAAAATAATTCCTAGATGATGACTCACACAGCAACCCAGGCTCCATCCGTAACTCCTTTTCCCCCTCCCCTTACTGTGCTCTTTTCATATAAGCAATCACCTATACCTAAAGCATGAAGCCCTTACTTTTCCAATATATATATAAAGCATCTGATCAAGCAATTAACTACAAAACAATGATTACAAAATAACAAAACAATGATTACATGATAACACTATAAGTATCAATATAAAATGGTTACTATATATAAAATAAATGCTAATGTCAAACTTAAACATACTAAAATCATAAGCACAATAAAATCCCTTCACTAGTTTAAGATAAGCTTTACTGTCACTTTTTTCCGTGAACACAATGACACACATTAAAAATAATATATATATTATCACAATGTAACATCCTACTTTGTGCCTATCAAATTCCTACTCTAG